CGCGCGTTTGGGGTGGGGGAGTGGGGGATGTTGTGTCCCCCCTTTTTTAAAGTTGCTGAGGTTGAGAAACTCTGCTGTAGCAGATGGGACTTATAACATGCCCTTCCTGCCAGACCTGTAACTGGGGAGAGGTGGTCCCTCAAATACCCTGGCCCCATGCCATGTAGAGCTTTATAGGTCCATCACCAGCACCTTGAATTGAACTTGGAAGCAAATTAGCAACCAGTGCAACTTGAGGTGTAGCGTGCACCCAAAGTAGCACTCCAGAGTGTTCCCAGCTGCCTGAAAGGGTGTTGCCCTATCTAAGTCCTAACCAAACGTAACCCTCCTTAGTTTCTAAGCCTAAGCTAGGTTGGCCTGGTGCTATCATCTGCTATGCCCCTATTTCTCCCAGGGTCCCATTCCCCCCCTCCAGCAAACGCACCGTCTCCTTGAAGCTGTCAGAGAGCCAACGGTTACGCAGGATTGCCAACACTGAGGAAGGCGGGTTCTCCAAGTCTTCTAACGCATCCATGAGGATGAAGTCCAAGGCGATATCAAAAAAATTCATACAAACCACCTGACGGATGGACAAGAGAAAAGATCCGTGTTTACTGACCCGAATCACCAGGTCAGAGCAAAGCTCCCCGTTCTGCTGCCTACAGGATTCAACCAGTCCTAGTCGGATTAACAATATCGCTACTGCCCCACCATCGCCCAATATTTGGGGGAGGGGCTTTATTTAGGTCAGGCAAATAAACCCATTATAAAGTTGAGCACAAAGCAACCGAAGCTGAGCATCTGGATGAAGACAAAGATTTGCACGTGAAGGTTTCAAAAGGATAAAGATGAGGCAAGGAGATTTCTTGCTAAGGCTATAGTCTATCTAGGGTGTCACCACCAAAAAGGCCCTGTCTTAGCACTACAGGTAGTCCTCGTCCTTGTTTAGTGACCACAGTGGGATGGGCAACTCCGTCGTTAAGCAAAGCGGTCACTAAGTGAAACTGTGCTTACGATCTGACTTCAGCTTTCTTTGGCTTTACAGACCTCTGAAGGCGGGCAACTCCGTCGTTAAGCAAAGCGGTCACTAAGTGAAACTGACTGTGCTTACGATCTGACTTCAGCTTTCTTTGGCTTTACAGACCTCTGAAGGGTGTGAATGTGAGGGTTGGTCGCAAAGTTATTTTTTCATCCCTGTTGTAACTGCAGACAGTTGTTAAACAAGGCAGTCATTAAACAAGGACTACCTGTACTCCTCTCTTTCCTTGAAAAAGACATAATTTTATTTACCCTCCCCATGCCTACACATCATGCCGGGTCTAAAAACCTGGTTTACATTTCATAAAGGCTGCATTCACATAAAACACTTAAGCTGGTTACTGAATTAACTCAGTCATCTTGGCTTGCATAATGCAGTGAATCAGGCTGGGTTTATGCAACATATTATGCCACCCAATATTAAAACAAACCCAATTTAGCATGTTGTGTGAATGTAGCCATTAGGACTTGTTTAAGGGAGCTGCCTGAAGAAAGCCACTGACTGGATCTCTACCTAAGAAATCAATTCCATGAGTGCATTATGGAAATTGGCCACTGTGGATAATGTTGCCCCAGACAGATCCAAGCTTTCGGTGGCTGGATTCACACAATGTGCTAAGCCATCATTTGTTGTTACCAGTGTTTGATGAACCAGCCACAACTGGCTTTATACACCTAAGTCAAAAAGTGGTTTGGTTTGGCTTGGCATAGACACTATGGCTTGTAAGCCACAGTTTACAGCTCAGTGTGCTGTGTGAGGCCAGATAAGGCTGGCTTATTCCAGAAACTCTGGCTTGTATGATGCCTCAGCCCAGCCAGCGATTTGCTTATATAGATCCTGTTTTTAAAATAGATGCAAGATGTTATTACAGAACTTCCATTAAACCTGCAGCGTTTCTTTGGACAGGACCAAATAGAAGTCGAGGTCTTTGTAAAGAGAAGCCCCTCACGTACCCCTCGCCCTTCCAGCTCCTTCTGTGTGGTCAGCCAAGTCTCCTGTCTTTGTGTGTAGTGCAACATCTCATCATAGCTTTCAAGGAAACCCTTGGTGTTCTGGAGGAGAAGAAATCAGAGGAAATCAACCCAAAACTCAGCAGGAGAAACCAGCCAGACTTCCTTGTTGCTTCCAAATCAGCCCCATGAAGCCCAAAAGGGTCTTTCCACTCGGTCTCCTGAGATCAGTTTGCTCAGTTACCCTGAGCTCACAGAGACACCCTCCAAGGCCTGTGTTTGGGGCAGGTCCTCAGCAGAAGACCTCTGGTGGACCACGAAGAGGTCCCAAGATTTTACTGTGACGGCAGTTGTCACACTGCACTGAGCAGCCCCCCGTAGTAGACCCCAGCTCATCTCCCTGGGGACCCACATCATCCCCCCAGGGATGAAGAATGGTTGGCCCTTACCTTCTCAGCCTTGGTCATCAGCCCCATCACCATGCGTTTGCCCACTTCCCCAAAAAATGACTGGTTGTTCTCCACCACCAGCAGCTCCTGGGAAGAGATCAGCCCGTTGGAAACCACAATTACTTAAATGAACCAGGCCTTCAGATTAAACAGATTTGCCTGGATATAGCATGCTACGTGAACCTCCCCATGACATTTGACTAAATCAAGCTTAAAGTTAAGCATCTAACATTTGAAATATAAACTAACTTAAGGGGTTGAGTTCCCAAAATGTTAAACCACAAAGAAGCCCTAACAAAAGTTAAAACTAACCAGGCTGAGCATGTTAAATGAATGCAGCTGCCAGATCTTCCATTATATGCTGGTCTATGAGCGTAATAAATATTGATTGATTGGTCTTCCATTGAACAGGTTCAGTGTGTTGTGTGAACCGCATTGCTGGCTGGGCAACACATAAGAATTCAGCCACTCTTTCCATCCAGAATGTACACACCATCCTCCACCATCATGGGGTGGTCTGCCTTGGCCTGATCTATAAGCCCTCATGCTTATAAACCACAAATCATAGTTCCACAAGAAGAGAAGTAACCTGGTTCCTTCCAAGGTGTTGAACTTCAACTCTCATCATCCTGGCCACTAGAATTGCTGGCAAGGGATAGTAGGAGTTGTAGTCCAAATCACCCATATCCATTTTAGCTGATGTGTGAACCAGGCATCTATGGCTTAGCAGGTCATGTCAATCAAGCCAATTCTTTCTGGACCAGGCATGGCAGTGAGGTCAACCTCCTTCCACCCCCAAGTTACAATTCCTCAGATTCAAGGACTCCAGGAAGGACAGTCTTCAAGACAAAATTGGCTTCAAGTCTTCCGGGACAACTAGCTTCAAGGTCTCCAGAGAAGACCAGCTTCAAGGGAGGACTAGCTTCAAGGTCTCCAGGTACCCACCTGAAAAGCTTGTCTGATGCAGTGAAGCTTTGCCAGAAAATCATTATCACTGTAGCACCCCAAAAGCTCTGTGCTGGAAGAGGAAAAAGTTTGGTGGTGGGGTGGGAGGATGGATAAAATCTAGGTCAGCTTTCCCAAGCTGAGGCCCTCCCAACCTTGAAATTATGAATTCTGGACGATGCAGGCCCAAGGCATCTCAGATCAACCACATATTCCTGGGACGGGGAACTTACTGGTACCCACGGCTGCCCTTAACATCATTTCCAACAACCAAGGGCTACAGTTGGCCAAAAGACAATGAGACAAAGTAGGGGAAGCCAAGAGTTTTGGATGGGTCCTTGAGGTATTGGAAGGAAGGGTTTTTTCCCCTTGCTTTTTGTTGTAATTACGTTAAGCATTTTTCAGACCTTACACTACCTTCTCTTTCCCACCTCAAAATGGCAGAGGTTTACGCCTCCTAGTTTTCATCCACTATGATACAGGACGGAAAAGATGCTGCCATCCACAGTTTGAAAACTGGGTGGGTGGGGGAAACCATTTCATTTAGTCTTCCCTCCTGCGAGACAAATCTAAGGAGCCTCCCAGCTTTGTATGGATAATCTTACATCTCCAATCACCTACTCTCCCAAACTGTGATTTGAGCATCCTGCAGATGTCTCAGGACTTCAACTCCCAGAATTCTCTATCAACAGAACCAAGAGCGAGGAATGCTGGGAACTTTGAGCATCCTCCAAATATCTCAGGACTTCAACTCCCAGAATTCTCTATCAGCACAATCAAGAGCCAGGAACTCTGGGAACCACGCCCCTGATATATCTGCAAGGTGTCTAACTAAGGAGTTGTGTTGGCTACATTTGGTTTCGGAAAAGGAGAAGCATGAATAAGCAATAAGCCAAAACATCTCCGTGAAGGTCCAAAGGTACATCAGGTCCATAATGACCTTGATGCCACCATGGGAAGATAAATATTCTCCAGCCCTTCTACCCCGAACTCACCGAAAAGTCCTGCACAAAACCAACCCGTCTTTCACCAGCTTCAACGCTTCTTCATAGGCAACGGCTGGCTTGGAAGGATGGAATGGCATCTTCTCAATTTCCAGGGAGTCAAAGATCTGAGGGAAAAGCAGAAACCATGAAAGGGATTTCTTTCCTAACCATCAGAGGCTCATCAAAGAAAAAGCACAGTTCCAGACAGAGCAGAAAGTGCTTCTGTCATTTCCAGCCTTGACTACTACATACACATTTTGAATGGGGCTGCCCTAGAAGACAGCGTGGAAACTTCAGCCTTGAGTGTTTATATAAACAGGGCATAAATGTAATAAATAAATTAAAATGAAACACAGGGGCTTCCCCCCTTTCTCCAAGCCAAGGGTGTTCTTAAAATATCTCCTCTGAGTCAAGTTGGACATCATCTATTTTTGTAGATTTGGGGAATACTCAGAATAGGAGAAATTTTCAACCTGGAAGCCTGTGAACCAAGAATAGATTCTGTCCTTCTCTAATCAGGTACCTGTGAGGTGTAACGCACCATAATTCCCCCCACCCATCCCCAGAAATATACCCCCCAATTATATCCTCACCCCCACCAACCTGGTGTTGGACTACAGCTCCTATCAGTCCCAGCAAAGCTTTCTCCAAC